GTTCAAAACACAGTAAGAGGAGCCATGGTACAGAGAGATCTGGCCATCCTAGCCATCGTCAGCACTCAGTAACTTTCCTCCTCTTCTTTTTTATCTCTGTTACCTGTCCACAACCATCTGCAACAGAAAAAAGTTGTTTTCCTTCATTCTGTGATGTTGTTTCTGTGGTGTGGTGGCTTCTAAGTCTCCTTTGACTCCCTATTCAATCTGTGACAATGTTCCAGTGAGATGGTAGTTTTGATTTCCCCTTGATTGCTACGATGTGGTTGCACTCTGTGGAGTACGGGACAATCAGAAACCCCCAAACATCTGCACTCGGGTGGGGACTGTGGGTTATTTGTGCAGCTTACTTCTCTGGGAGGAATGGCATCTGAGAAGGGACAAATTTATCAGTGTCAGCCACTTCTAAGTATCTTTTACGAGTTATGATTCTGTTCCATTATATGGTAGGTATTTTTATTCGATATTTTGATATATTAGTCATCATAATGAGTATTGTTTCTCTTGGATACTTTTAGGGTTAATACCCTAGACTCATTTTTTTTTCAATACCAGAAAATTCTAAAACATTAAGAAAAAACCTGGATCTGGTTGGCTACCCTAAGAACTAAGAGAATCTTTGAGCCAAATCTGTTTCCAGTGACTCCAGGGACTCGGCTTGAATGTCCAGCTCTTCCCTCTGTGTGGCCCTGTCTCCCAGCAGCCGTCCTCTCTCACACTGTCACCCACTTGGCCTTGGGTCAGGGTCTCTTCTCCCTTCTCTCAAGGCCATTTTTTCATTTTTTTTTTTAAAGCAAAAATCATTATCTTTGCTCTTCTCTGTCACGGGGACCTTAGTCCTTTCTAATTGCAGAAAACAGTCCTCAAGAAATAAAGCTCTGAGGATAGAGCACGTGCCTGTGTGGAGGACAGCATTGTGGCAGAGGGTGAGCATTGAGCAGACTTTGACAAAAGCCCTGCTAGCTGGGCGTGTGCTCTGGCCCGGAATCTTCCATCCCAGGGACTGCCCAGCTCGATGTCAGCTGTAACTGGTGTGTAAGGACTGGCTGTCGTCAGGAGCACCAGGGAAGGCAGCACTCCTGAGGTGGGCCCAGCTGCCACCCCCACACCCCTCATTCCGATCTCAAGGGTTGCAGGGATGTCTCTGTGGAGAGTTATTAAATCCTACCAAAAGGTAGCAGATGAAAAAATGGCCCTGCTTGTACAAGATGCTTTTTCTCTTACTTCTGTAAGTATAAAATTGCTCTAAAAACGCAGTCTTTTAATTGAAAAATGAAAGGAATAGGGACAGGAGAGATAGCTCAATGGGTGAGGCCCTGCTTTCTCTTCCAGAGGACCTGGGTTCAATATCCAGTACCCACATGGTGGCTCACACAGTCTGGAACTCCAGTTCCGGGGATCTGACGCCCTCTCCTGGCCTCTGTGGGCACTGCATGCATGTGGTGGTACACAGACACATGTAGGCAAAACGTCCATAAATATAAAACACTTTCCTAAAAGTTCAAGAAAAAGAAGAGAAGGAAGCAAAGGATAAAGAGGTAGAAGACGGTCCTGATCAATGAGACGTTCACTGAGCTGAAGATGGCCTGATGGCAGCTGCCACCTGCTCCACACCATTTCACACTATAACTTCTCTCCATCTCTCCAGATACTCAGCAAAATCTGCTACAAACAAACAAACAACACCCCCCCCCACACACACACACTGCCTGGGGCCAGTGGTAGTTGGGAAACAGAGGAAGAATGGTGGCCAGTGTGGGCTGAAGCAGCACAGCCTTCTACAGGAAGTCTAAGAATTTGACACCAGAAACAATTCTCTGTGGTCAGAGAGACCACAGGAATGAAAGCTTCCGGGGATCTGTGGAATTGCGCTGTCCAGCGGTGACCACACACCCTGAGGCGGCTTTTGAGCGCACACAATAGGAGGATCCCAAGTTGACATGTGTGAAGCTAGAGCGAAAAGAAGCCAGATAGCTCAACAACTGTATGCTAATTAAAATATTATTTTGACACAGAACGTTAAATGAGATATATTATGAAAATGGAGTGTCCTTGTCCCTTTTCACCTTTCTAACAGAACTGTTAGAAAATTTTGAGTCGCACACACGGCTTGGAGTACCGATGGATGCATCTCTAGAATGTTTGGGAAAGCCGCGGATCCCTACAGGGTGCTGTGATGGGAGCTTCAACCACCTTCAGCAGTAGAAGATTAACCCAGAGGGTTGGGACCAAGACAGCATGCACCGCCAGACTGAGTGTGAGAAGGCACAAACTGAACAGATGACTTTCTTTGCTTTAGCAACTTTTTGTTAAATTTGCCAAATAATTCCTAAGAAATAGCACATGCTTTAAAAATAGAATTCAGTCTAAGGAGAAAATTCAGCACTGCAGGAACACATTTAGAGCATGAATCAAGGTACGGGGTACAATTTTCCAACACGAAGAAGCTATGCTCAGTCATTGGATTTAAACTAGAAAATAAGAAAACCAAGGAATCATCAGGGGACTACGTCTTTGAATCCCTCAACGTACTGCACACTGACTTCCCAGGTCAGAGGCTAACACTGTCCAAGTCCACTAGAAATATCAGACACCTACATGGCTGCAGTCATTTACATGTTGTATTTATTTCATCTCTTATCTATTTCTTGAGGCCATGTCTCTGGAAATTCACGAGCAAAAATATGGAAAAAAAATGCTCCAAGTTTCCCAAACCGAGTGGAACCAGAAACCAGTTTCTCAGACATGCTCTGTAGGAAGCCTAGTGCTCTAGGTTCTGTACCATATACATTTATGGTTACCTGTATATAGCAGAGGCAGACTTCAGATCTGAGGTGATGTGATAGCACACGGTCCAGTATGTTTATTTTATAGAGAGGGTACTAAGCCACAGAGAGACATGTGACTTGCCTGAGACCACAGAGCTTACTGGAGTGTCAGGACTCAGGCTCTATGGTACAGCTGTACACTTGGCATCCTGGGAACGGTCCATGCTTCCTAAAGATCAGCGTGGGCTGTATGAAAACTCCAGCTGGCCATATTTACTCCAGAAGTCTTTTTTAAAAAGAAGGATCACATAACCCCTGTCTATAACACATACATGAGAACACTTCTTTTAAATAACTTTAGTTGTATGGACAGGTAGCTTAGGAGGCAGTACAGAGTGTGCACCTAGGCTGCTTAAAGGGAAGCCTGATGTCTAAGAAGAAGATGTCGAGCACAGAGAGGTGCAAAGTGACCCCAGGGAGCAGACTCAGAGACTCATGCTCCTCTTTCCCTATACCAAGTACTCTCCTTCCCCTGAACTACACTGATGTGGCATTTCAAAGCACCCAGACAAACTAGCCAGCCTGTGTGAGCTACAGGACATGGCCTCATGGACAATGGTGTTGAGATCATTTGGATGGGAGTTGCCTTTCTGCATGAGGCTAAATTTTTATGTCTTGATGCTGTGGGATGTTCTGTATGTTAAATGTGTTGCTCTGATTGGTTAATAAATAAAACACTGATTGGCCAGTAGCCAGGCAGGAAGTATAGTATAGGTGGGACAAGGAGAGAAGAGAATTCTGGGAAGTGGAAGGCTGAGACAGAGAGACGCTGCCAGCCACTGCCATGACAAGCAATATGTAAGGTACCGGTAAGCCATGAGCCACATGACAACTTATAGACTAATAGAAATGGGTTAATTTAAGATATAAGAACTAGATAACAAGAAGTCTGCTGTGGCCATATAGTTTGTAAGCAATGTAAGTCTCTGTGTGTTTACTTGGTTGGGTCTGAGCGGCTGTGGGACTGGCGGGTGAGAGAGATTTGTCCTGACTGTGGGCCAGGCAGGACTGGAGAAATCTCCAGCTACATCTTGACATGTGTGAGCACACCCACACACACACACACCCACACACACACACACACACAGAGTGACTTAGCATTAATCTTTTATTTAAAAGGATTTTTGTGTTTTACAATTTATGTATATGAATGTTTGTCTGCATGCGTATATATGAAACATATACATGGTATGTTCACTGAGGCCAGAAGTGGGTGTCAGATCCTATGGAACTGGAGTAACAGATGGTTGTTAGAGCCACCATGTGGGTTCTGGGAACTGACATGGGTCCTCTGCAAGAACAGTAAGTGCTCCTAATCACTGAGTCATCTCTCTAGCCCTGGAAATCTCATAGTAAAAGTTTTCCAGTCCTTCAATAAATAATGGATAGCAAAGTTACTTTACTAGGAATCTCTTCTTTCATAGAGGAAAAAAAATGGGAAATAAAAAAATCTCGAAAACTTCATTGTATTTTCACAAAGGCCCTCCCTCCAGGATCAGCACCTTGTTATGTGATGTTTTGTTTGTGTTCTGACAAATAAAGCTTGCCCAGAGATCAGAGAAGCAGAGCAGCAGCCACTAGAGACTTCTTACCTCTACGAATCCTCTGACCGAATGTGGTCAAGATCCTGTCTCCAACTACCTTATATTCCTGTCTCTACCTCCCTAGTGCTAGGATTAAAGGCATGCATCACCACTGCCTGGCTCTGTTTCTCTTTTAGACTGCTTCAATCTCGTGTAGCTCAGGGTGGCCTTGAACTCCTGGTTTTTCCTGCTTCCTTCTCCCAAGTGCTGGGATTAAAGGTGTGTACCACCACTGCCTGGCCTCTATGGCTAACCAGTGGCTAGCTCTGCCCCCTGATCTCCAGGCAAGCTTTATTTGTCTGACCACAAACAAAATATACAACAGGACCTCAATATGCCCCAAGACTTTGCCTTGAGAAGGTCTGGTGTCACCCTGAAGTCTAACCTATTCCTAAACTAGAAGTGAATAAATTAAGAGCTTCTTAAAGCATTCAGATATCACCAAGGAGTCTGGGGTGGCATTCAGAGGACTGTACTGATGGCTACATGCTGCTAAGCAGGAGGCTCAGGCACCACCCAGGGATCTGGGTGGCATTCAGAAGGTATTGATGGCTACACACCACCGATCAGGATGCTGGAGGTACTGTACCTTTGCAGGTGAAACATTTGATATGGAAATGCTTGGTCTGGACCCGGAGTACTTCGCCCTTGCATGGCTCCCCGCATTTATGGCAGTGAATGGCAGGTTTCTCTGATGAGTGGTGAGGGTCCTGAGGATGGGCCACTGGAAAGAAACAGCAAAAGATTTAAGTTAAAAGGAAGCATTTCTAGAAAACAGTCTTTGCAAGGATGTGTGACCGTCCCCAGCATGCAGCGGGAAATGAGCCACTCGGCCATTCAATAAGCACGAGGTGGGCACACACACCCCACCCCATGAGCTTGGATCCACAGCTGCATGCATCTGTGGCAGCCTTAACAGTCCACTGGGGACACACATGCTGTCTCCTGCCTTCTGCCTCAACTTCTCAAGGACTACAGATTATACAAATACAATCCCGTTTCACTCAGTATTTTGCAGTCTGTATTTGTGGCACGTTTTTGCTGACTTAGCATATTCCAGCAGGCATTCGCTGTAAGGCAAAGGTTCCTCAGAGGCAGGGACCATTTCTTAGTCTGTTTGGTTTCTGCCCTAACTGTATTTTGTGTCCCAGCTCCTGTCAGCACAGAATGCTCATGCAGTGCTAACTACTTAGGCTGTGTGGGACAGTTTCTCACTGCCGTCATCAGACAATGCTTTCTATCTGACTCTGGGGACTCATCTAACCTACTGGAGGCCCATTATGAGACTCTCATGGCACATACAGTTCCCCACATATACTATGAGCAAAAACTTAAAAATAATAACTATCTGTGAAGCCTGGACCCCTCTGCACATGATCTGCTTCCTTGCCCGTAAAGCAGAGGGGCCTGGACCAGTTGGGTGTGTGTGAGGGGCTCACAGAGAATATCTTCTTAGATCCCAGTGCAGTTTTCAGGAAACGTAAGTTACTTTGGCTGTCCCGGCCTCAGAATCGGGTGCAGAGTCTGAACTAACTGCAGAGGGGCAGGAGGGAGACAGCAAGACAAACACCTGGGTTTGTGTCTCTCGCAGGTTCCTTTGGCCAGAAAATGTCAATAGCCGCTTATTGCTAGCAATTTCCTTTGCTGATGAAGAGCCTTAGAACCCATGTGACATATCAGGCAATCTGCATTCGACCAACCAACACAAAGAACAATGGCATCTTTTAGACACTTTTTAAATGTTTGTCCAGTAGGAAAACTGCACCGGGCAGCTCACGTGGGACTGCTGAGACCCAGTGTAGAAAGGACATTAGAGTGAGAAGCTGGCCGTGTGTGACAGCACGTGTGTAAAAGCATGACATGTGGGACATCAGAGCGAGAAGTTGGCTGTGTGCGACTGCACGTGTGTAAAAGCATGGCGTGTAGGACATCAGAGCGAGAAGCTGGCCGTGTGTGACCGCACGTGTACAAAAGCATGGCATGGATATAGCACATTGTTCTATATAGATTGTCCCCCATTCTCATTTTGCTGAAAAGAGTTCGGGTAAGATGGTGCAAACCACCATTTCCTGACCCTGTTTCTGAAGAACAAGGTTCTCCTTGTGAGGTTTCGTTCAGGAGCAGGTGTGGTTTCAAGCTAAACAGGTGACTCAAATTCCTAGAGCATGAGCTGGATCCCAAGAATTCCAGGAGGCAGGGAACCCAGCATCGCAAGCCACCTGCATCCCTTTATCTACCTGATATGATCTCTCTGTGTTTACCACCAGATTCACATTTTCTACAGGAATTAAGGAGGGGCGTGCATGCTATCAAGATCACTGAGAGCAGTGTAACACAAGACAAAAGTCTGTTCACATGGGCATGAAGAAAAAGGTTCTCTCAAGAGCACCTGCTCCACATGCTGGTGGGGGAACATGTGAGCTTTTCAGTTTCTTCCAGTTAACTCCTGTTTTTCAGCAAAGTTATCATCACTGGGTATCGCGATAATACTGCGCACGGTGCTTATACCTAAGTCGTTTTGTTCGGCTGCACCACCCTTGACTGGCAGTGGGATGAGCAATAATGCTCCCATTTGGTGGATAAGGCAATTGGGCTTCAGAGATGCTGAACGCCCTCTCAAAGTAACAGCTAGTGTGAGTGCAAAGGTCGACACTTCAGTCCTTCCGGACCTACTATGCTCCTCCCAGACTGCTAGGATAAGTCAGGAAATTGTTACAAGCAAGATATTTATTTAGCCAATTTTATACACAATTCTCAAAGTAACATCCAGGGTTTGGCTTTCAGAGAGAACACTGAGAGCATGTGTGGAAAAGGTGTCTCTAGGTGGGCCCAAGACCCTGGTTATCAACAAAGTAATTATGCAACCCTTGAATTAGAAATCCCTGTGCCATGTATTTAGAAAGGCAAATGTTATCTCATCCCCAAAGGCTATCATATAAAAGACAAAAAAAAAAAAAAAATAACAAATGCTGGGGGCGTGTCTCCTGGAAAACTCCCAGACACAGTTGGTCAGAATGTAAATTCATATAGTGTTATGGAAATACTACGGAGGTTCCAGTCAACAATCCAAATACAGATACCCAAAGGAAATGAAAATGGGTTGGCAAGCAACCTGCTAAGGGCTGAGAAATGGGTAAAGAAAATATGGCACATCTATAAGAAGAATGGAATTTGGCCTCTTACAGCAACATGGATGGAACAGGAGTACATTACGGGATCAAAGCCAGGCTTAGAAAGACGCATGCCACATGCTCTCAAATCTCTATGTTGACCTCACGGAGGTGGACAATGGAGTCATGGTTACCGGAGCCTGGGAAGGATGTGGGTGATGGAGGGACGGAGAGGGGCTGGTTAACACTTTCAGGAGTGCTGTTGGCATGAGGAATGGTTCCCAGTATGTTAGGGCAGATCAGAGAAACTATGGTTGACAGTAACCGAGTGTTTCAAGTCAGCAGGTAGACAGGATGTGACAAGTCCCCAGTGCAAAGGAATAGTAAGTGTCCCAGGTGACAGACATGCCAAATACCACAACCTGATCATACAACATATACCCACTAGTATTAAAATGTCACACTGTGCTCTGTAAGCACATACAATCACTATGTGTTGATTAAAAAATAATAATAACCAGGCATGGTGTTACATGCCTTGAATCCAGTCCTAGAAAGGCTAGTGTGGGGAGACCAGGAGTTCCAGGCTCACCTGAACAATATGATGAGTCCTCATCCCCAAAACTAAGACAAACAAACAAACAAAAATAAATAATTTAAAAAATGCAGTCCCCCCAACATTGCCCAGGAGTAGGGGTCAAGAATCTCTGTCTAGCAAATCCCTCAGGCAATTCTTACACACACCCCAGATGAAGAACCTCAGCATTCTTTTCTAAGAAATGTTTTTACTTTTATTTTTAATTATGTGTGTTTGTGTGTGTGTTTGTGCTTGGAAATGCAGTACCCATGGAGCCCAGAAGAGAGCAATGGGTCCCCTGGAGCTGGAGTAACAGGTGGTTGTGGGATGCCCTATGCAGGTACTGGGAACCCAAACTCGGGTCCTCTGAAAGACAAGCGTGGGTCTTAACCACTGAGCCATCATGCCCTGAATGTTAGCAATCTTATCACTGAGTAGGCCTGCTAAAACAAAGAGTGAGGACTTGCAGCATACCTCTCAAGACCACCCTCTTCAGTGTATCCTCAGGTGGGCACCACAACCAGGAGGAACCATCCTCCCCAGAAACAATGTGACAGCACAGGACATCCCTTAAATGGAGAGTGAGTTTCTGCCTAAGAAACCCTGAGACTTCTGACTCTCCATTTCATATAGCTAAGCAGGCCAGCCAGGTGACTCACGAGGAGAGAAGGAAGGTATCTACCACTCTTGGCTCTTCTGTGCATGTGAACAAAATAGTCAGCTCAAACGCTGGCAACTGTCCCCGAGGTCAGAGCAGAGACCAACATTTGCATTCTGCAAGCATTTCCTTTAGAACGATGTATTACACCTGAAGGCTTCTGTGCCTGGAGAAAACTTTCACCTTCGACCAGCTATAGGCAGACCAGACCATTTATCTGCCTTTCCTTCAACTGCCAGCCTAAGCTCACATGTGTGTGCATGCAAACACACACACACACACACACACACACACACACACACACACACACACACACACACCAGAATCACTCACTGGGGAAGAATTGGGATTTCTTATCGTGAATTTTATCCTAACTAAATCAGTGTAGACAAAAGAACCTCCCTCCTTTTACAAGGTGAACAAAGAGGTCCCTTTTATGTGGCTGTCCTTGGAGGTTTGGTTATTACCAAGTGAATGGCAGTGTTTGCTCCAGTGTATGCTGAACTGTGCCAAGCTGAGCTGCCCGCAGTATACCTCAGTGCCAGACTCACTGAGTCTGCTCCTGGCTCTTTTGCTAATTTTCACTCCGATGATTCCATTAGAGTCTGGGTGGTCTCTGCTTCTTCTACTGACAGGGGAAACTGAGAAATAAAGCTCACATTTTGGTTAAGGCTGATGTGCCCTGTGCCCCAGGCTTCCCAACTCTTTCCACTGTTTCTAGTGGTCAATGATTTACCCTGGGATGGAGGTGGGGAGAGCTGAAGCAGTGTGAGGGGATGGGAGGTGGGGAGCATGTGTGTGCAGAAGCTGTGATCATCTTATTGGCAAATGGGAAAAGGATCATATCAAGTTTGGAGAGGCTGTGGCCCCTCTGACAACACTACCTACTACAAGCTATACCCAAGGGGCCATGGGTTCACAGTAAATAAAGTGGCTTGACCACACCTCTGAAACTCCAGGGCAGGAATGAGATTAGAATGCAAGCCACGGAGGAGATGCCAGCAACCTCTGGAGTCCTTAGGCAGAGTCCATTACAGAGCCCGTCCTGTACCCTTCAATCAAATCCAGAACCAGTCTCATCTTGCCCATGCTCCATCCATCCCTCTTGGAGACAGACAGGAAACTGTGGAGGAACATGTGAATTAAAACTCCAGAGCAGGAAAGATCGGACCTGTGTGAGACAGACAACCAGCGCCCAGGCATACCTGTGCTCTGGGTCATCTGAAATATTCAGAAACGCCCATGTCACAGCCGCCCCCAGCCTCTGATAGGACGTGGTGTTCGATGGCTTTCAAGTACTCATCATACCTGTCTTAACTCATTTTACTCTCAGAGCTTTGGGGGAAGAAAAAGCGGGATCCAACAACCAACTTTTACCA